GCCTAAACTTTTGCACCCACTGTAGCTCTGGTTTGGAATGAGCTGTCACTACACGTCAGGCAGATAATGTCCTCACTGCCTGTTTTTAAAACAAATCTTAAAACTTATTTCTATTCACTGGCTTTTAACCCAGCTTGAGACCTTGGTCTGTTTTAGCTGTTTGTTTTTTTTTGTTTTGTTTTGTTTTGTTTTGTTTTTTTGCTTGTTTTTACTGGTGGTATTTTTAGTGTTTTTATTTGTTTTGTTGTTTTTGGCACTCTATGTACAGCACTTTGTGTCAGCAGCTGCTGTTTTGAAGCACTTTATAAATAAAGTTGATTTGATTTGAAATACCCTCCTATTTTAGAGCCATGTTTTTGAATGTGTGCAAAAGTGGCAAATAAATATGCAGTAAAAATAAAAAATTGGAATAGTTCCAAATTGCATTATTTGAATAAAGAGTAAAATTGTGTGAAAATTACAGTTTTTTGGATGTGGGAGTTTGAAGTGTGAAGATTCAGCTGTAAAATTAGAACAGCAACGTTTGATGAAGTCGATCAGAGCGGCAGTGCTGTAATTTTACCACGAGGGGGCGCATGTGACCCACGTGTTCCACATGGTGTCACTACTACTGTACTGTCTTTTTAATTAAAGCAGTTCTAGATGTGTTCTGACATCATTTTCTCTTATTTCTTTTATAATAACCAAAAACTAAATTAAACTCCTGTTCAACTCATTGCTGCTTTGAACTCGTGCTACAGAGTTTGAGTTTTGAGAATTTACCTTCTTCTGCTTGTCATAGCTCAGACTCAGATGTGGTACATCTATGGAGGATCTTACAGTCTTTACGTAAAAAAAGAAAGAGCCAAAGAGTGAAGGAGCAGGAGAGACGAGGGCACCAACGGATGGGCCTGTGACTGAACTGGAGCGGGCCTGTGGTTGCTAATCTGTCCCTGTCATTTGCTGCCATTTCCCCAGAGCTGGGCTGACAGCTGCTGCAGATAAACAGCAGATACAGACAGTTGAGGAAAGAATATAAATTATGGGACAACTTGACAATCCATTCTGCTTCTTTTTCTTCACTTTTCATGCTGTTCTGTACTTTTGTCCTCCGTCATCTTGTGCTGGTTTTACTCATTAAGGTGTGAATGAATTCATTGTTGTTTTCATGTGTATTTTGCAGTCTACTTCTGCATACTTTGATATTTTAGCCTTTCATACATTAAAACTTTTGGCTCATTCACTGTAATAGCGTTATGATTTTTGGTTATTGTGTCTTATGT